ACAGTTTGGGGGAATTGGAGGGACTTACTTCCAGCAACACCACTACTATCACACCGAATATCAGGCGTGTATTTTTAAGGTTCTCCCACATTTTCCTTTCCCTGCATGGGACTTCAGATTCCTGCTTGGGGCTTGGCCTTCTCTTCTCATTCTTTACTACCTTTGTTCTGACTTTTCTATGCCTGCCCAAAGCCAAAAATCTCTTAGGCACTGAAACTTCTTTTTCTAGACCTTTCTCTGATGCTAGGTATCTGTCTGCATATACAGGACACTAAGAGCTTAAGAATGATTATTTGGAAGGATTTGCCTTATTAAGTCACAACCATTCTCTTCCTCTCCAATTTTATTTCAGAGAGTAAGGGTGGAGATTTTTCTTTTGTTTTTAGTACTGATCAGGAAAAATCTCTAGGAGAATGAGGCACTGGATCTTACTGGAACATGATGGTAAGGACAATTAAGCCAGTCACTACTACTTATTGAGGGCCTAGCACGCTCCAGGCAATGAGCTAGGAGCCCGGGCACAAAAGGCACAAAACCAGACACGGTTCTGCTCTCGGGAACCCTAGTGCTGGCAAGACAGGGGAACATGAATCAAATACTCAAACAAACAAAACGAAAACATGAGTGCCAAACACCAGGAAGGTGGGGAGCCGGTGCTGTTGGGAGTAATGAGCTACCTAGCGGGAAGTCTGGGAAGGCCTCCCTGAGGATGACTGCAGAGCCGCGATCTGAAGGCAGTAAGGGTTAGCTTACGGGAAAGAGAAAGAACACTCTAAGCAGAGGGAACAGTTCCCCAGGACTGGGCAACAACAGAAACCTCTGACAAAGGACTGAAAGACGGTCCCTGTGGCTGGAGCTCCAAAAATGAATGGCACTGTGGAGAAAAATAAGGTTGGAAAGGGCGGGTGAGGCGAGGCCATCAAAAAGTTTCAAGTAGAGGGATGCATGCTAGGCTCAGATTTGCATTTTGAAAAAAATCACTTTGCAGTTTGGAGAAAGGATTGGAATTTTTGTTGTTTTTAAGACTTTTTTTTTTTTTTTGAGAGGGAGAGAGAGCGTGAGTGGGAGGGGCAGAGGGAGAGAGGGAGAGAATCCTCAAGCCAACTCCCTGCTGAGTGCAGAGCCTTGATACAGGCTCGATCCCAGGACCCTGAGATCATGACCAGAGCTGAAATCAAGACGCAGGTGCTTAGCCAACTAAGCCACCCAGGCGCCCCAGATCGGAATGTTAAAAAGGCTCAAGAGGAACTGTCAAATACCTGGAGCACCCATGTGGAAACCAGCAACTGATACAATTATTCAGAGTAGAATAATCATATCTATGTGTGTTTTAATATAATTTTAAACTAAGTGAATACACACACACACAAACCATTCAAAATAGCAAATAGTACCAGTACTATCAGGCTTATAAAAAACAGTAGTCCTGGGCAGCCCCGGTGGTACAGCGGTTTAGTGCCGCCTGCAGCCCAGGGTGTGATCCTGGAGACCCAGGATCGAGTCCCACATCGGGCTCCCTGCAGGGAGCCTGCTTCTCCCTCTGCCTGGGTCTCCGCCTCTCTCTCTCTCTCTCTGAATACATAAAAAACCAAAAAACAAAAAAAAAAAAAAAACAGTAGTCCTCTGATCATCCCTCTTCATACCTCTCAGGCCTTCCACTAAGGATCCCTTCCTCTACTCTTAACTATGCATCTGGTATTTACAATACCCCCCTTTTTTCTTTTTAACATAATATGCTTAAAGTGCTATTTATTTTCCAGCTTTAAACACTGTTTACTTTCTACCAGGGAAGAAAAGAATTTCTTGATCTTACCCCTTGTCCCACCATGCCCAAACTCTGTTCTTATCCTGCCAAGAGTGAACGTTCAAAACATTACTAGCATTTGCTTTTTTATTCTTACCATGTAAGAAAAAATACTCTGAATCATTCGTTACCTGAAAAATCCATCAATAGGGACAGAACCAGTACATTTCATTATAAATTTATGTCTTTGTGAAGACAAAAGTACCTTCCCTGTACATCAGTCACGAACATATTTGAAGCAGTAAGAGCTTGTACCCCATAAGTAAATACTGTTCAAATTTTGAAGTTGGCATAAGAATATTCAAGGAAATTACAATTGAATTACATTGTGCAAGCTGAAAGACATAATAAAGCTATCTGCAGCAGGAGGCCAAAATAATCTTTATAAGACAAATGTCTTTGAAGTTGGAAAGGTAATTAATTGATGGACTGTATCATCCATCCATAAATAGGCCTGTCTCATGCTGCTGCAGAATATGAGCTAGAAAACAAGCGGGTGATTCCCATGCAGAATCTAAAACAACCAGTTAGACGTTCTCATCGTCCAATAAATCAACCCTGAGGAAATATTCAGAGATACAAAGATTTACGCCCTAAAATATTCATGGTAGTATTTATATATAATGGAAAACAATCTCAATGCCCCAAAGTAGGAAAATGGTTAAATTATGTGACATTTATAGAATGGACTACTATAAAATCATTAAATTCATGCTTCCAGAGAACAGTTAACATCATGGGAAGATGCTCACAATGTGAAATGAAAAAAAAAATTGAGGTTACCCTATATATATGTAAAAATATACACACATATATAAACATAGCATGTTTATATATAAAATATCTATGCACGCTCCGGTTTTTTTTTGTTGTTTTTTTTTTTTTTAGTGCATAGAAAAAGCCAGTTTTTTGTCCCAATGTGGTCTGCTACTTGTATATCTCAGCATCAGCTGGAGGGCTTGCTGAAAACACAGATCCTTGGGTTCCACCCCAGACCAACTGAATTAGAGGCTTTGGAATCACAGTCCAAGGATTTCTGCCTATCTACACACCCTTGTCCACCCATGTACTACCTTGTCCACCGATGTGCTACCTTGACTTATACCGACGCCTACCTCCACTTGGACATCACTGAGGGAGAGGTGGTTTCTCTCAGGGTGGGAGAATTATGAGTAATCATCTTCTTTTTGGAATCCTTAAAAAAAATTATCTACCGAGCACATGCTGCTTTTTATAATTAAAAATTCATTAAAAGTATATTAATGAAGCAGGAATATGAGAAAAACAGAGGAGATCTGGGGTCTGTTTGGGGAAGTTTCAACACCTTTTCAGAACTGGAAAGTGTATTTTTAAAATCTAAAATAAGCAGGTACCTGGAGATTCCTGACAATTGAAAAGTCAGTTTAGGATAAGGAAAATACTAAGTGTAGATATGGAATTCATTACCTCAATAAATTATTCAGGTAAAAAAAAGTAAATATAGTAAATATTGAAAAGTATTAAGTAACAATATTTCTCCCTGTTCCAAGATGTTCCTTGGCAAAAGAGGATTGTGATCAAGTAAGATCACAATATATCTCCTAATCCCCTCGTAGAGTCATACAATCGTGAGCAGATTACAGGCTCTGGGACATCCAGTATAAGCTTCATTCTTAATTCTAGCTCCACAAACTCTTAGAATGTGTCCTACAAGTATAAACAAAATTCTAGGCCACAAGAGAGCCCAAGAAGGAATTCTCCCCATGAATTGATACCCTATGTTTGATCGAGCCATCGTATCAATTTGTTCCCACATTCCCATGGTCTCTGAGGGCTTAGCTCACATATTAACAGGGCCTGTTTTTAAGGGCACAGCTCAAGTCAGCTACCAAATATGCTCAAGAACAGCAAAATTGAATGCCAGGCTACAAGATTAGATAATATGTAAAGGAATGGTATATTTACTTTTGTTTACCATCAGTATCTACCACCTAGACAGTGAGCCTGTCTCATATTCATTTATGTAGTCCCAGTACAGTAAAATCTAACACTGGCACTTACTTGGTACTCACGTGAACACCAAATTTTGGGGACTAATACAGTAATGAAATGGGCTAGGCACAGGTCCTAAACTTGAGGTCTCTAAGTTTATACAGGTCATGACATCAAGACCTCATTTCATTCGATAAACATTTCTGAGTATTTATTATGAGTGGGTAATTCCAAGAATGCAGAGATGACTAAGATACAAGTCTTTACCCTCAAGAGCTCCATAAAGTAATACTAGCAGCCATTCCCCGATGTACAGGTTTGGGCACACATTAGCTGTCTAATAAATGCTTGTTTTAATTGAGTTCAGAAACCAAGATACACTTTAAGTTGGCCAAACTTTGCTGGCCCAAGAGCCTAGAGTAGGGTATTCAGACCATTCTGGATACTGCTTCAGAATTATGAGAGAAACCCCAGAACGCAGAAGAATTTAACAGTATATACTGTGACAGAATTTCTACGTATGTCCACTATAAAACTCTGTAGGTTCCTGAAATGTCAATAGATAGTATGTGGTAAAACAGAACTGAGAAAGGGGTTCAAAACGGTTGACAGGTCCCTCTACTGCAGAACTTCTCAACACCTGTGCACAATGTGCTATTTTCCTTTTATGCACTGTCTCATTTAATCTACACAGAGATCCTACACAGTAGGTCTAATCATTTTTTCCCATTTTAGAAGTGAGCAAGCTGAAGCTCACAGAGAGTAAGTAACCTGCCCCAGACAAGAAGATACAGAATGGGACTCTGAAATCATGTCTTTCTGGCAGCAAAGACTGGTTTGTGATCATTCAAGCAGTACTGTTTTTAATATATCGACGGGCACTAGAACACCTCCAGAGGGACATACAGCATACAGTGTTTCCCAAACTGTGATTAGGAAATCCTTTTAAAAGAACCTGTGCTTGCGACTAGCTTTCCATGTCACCCATTTTGAGAAATAGTGTGGGTCAACGAATCAGAGATATTCCATGGCAGACAGAAGGGAGGTGGAAGGCAGCTCAGAAGGCAAAGTGAGCTTATTAACAGTGTGCTCAGAGAATTAATAGGGACACATAAATTAAACCTCAGTTTGATATCATTTCTTTACCTCCAGATTCATAAGTTCCAGTTCATGCCTCATTGCTGTCAAATAATATTTGATATTTTATATATATAAAATCACAACATCGTCTTCACTTCTTTAATGTTAGTTGCAGAATTTGACCTAACCAGTGGTTCCATTCACGCCACTAATTTTGATAAAGTATATTCATTCACAGTGGGAGTATAAGTTTTAACTTGCTGTGTATTTCAATAGGTCTGCAATTTGCATTTTGGGGAAAGATCAATTTTCATCGTATATGATTGACCCAAACTTTGTAGGGTCTAGCAACCCTGACCCCTACTGACTAAATTCTAGTAGTACTCTTCTCCTGCCCCCAAGTCATTTTGATAAGAAACATCCCCATAATTTCTAGGGGAGTGGCATCACTCCCAGGTGGGACCCACAGGTTTAGAACAAACCAGAAAGTTCCAGAAACATTAACTGAAGGATAAACACCTACCCTGACCCTGCATTTAGTATACCAGCAAACAAATCAGGATTTAATACACTAGCTTCAATCCTGCATGTACAGTATCTCATTACATTTCTCTGATAATAACATGAACAGATTCAACAAACTGCCAAAATACCATTTTTAGCCAGGAGGGCCAAGCCCTTTGTACTTTGCCAACAACAGCAATAAAACTGGGCAGAAGCGAGCCAGGATCGCATGGGAGTACTGGCTTCTAACTGAAGCAGCAGCCACAAAACGAGAAGGATACCTGAATAGCCTATCATTTTGTCAAATTTGGGCTTTAATAGGATGCTGGGTTTTTTTCTTTCTTTTAAAAATGATTTATTATCAAAAAGCTTGCTCCCTCTCACTGCTGGGTCAGTTCAGCAATGAAGCTCTATCCTTTATAGGATTATTAGGACCCAAATAGTTTTAGACCAAAAACAACCACTACCACCACCACCACCACCAACTTGACTGTTGGTTCAGTAACATATTCACAGACATGTCAGTACGCGTTCAGGAATATTGGTTTCATTTCTTGATCGGAATGCCAATCACCATAAAGTCTTCTGCTAGAGTCACTTCTTGGAGATCTAATACTGATTCAGCTTGCTTTTTTAGTTCTACAATCCCATCTGCTTCTCCTTCTCTGGCCAAGGCAACCGGTTTGTACCTCTGACTGAAGTGAGTCAGAACTAGTCTCTTCGCTTGGCACAACTTTGCAAATGCTGCTGCCATCTGTGGTGTGCTGTGGCCGTGCTCCTTGGCTTTGTCCATCTGAGCATCATCTAGGGTTGCTTCATGGATCAACAGGTCTGCTTCAAAGCACAGCTTCACTCCTCCATCACCCACAACCCCAGAACAGTCACCCAAAATGCAGATTTTTCTTCCAACAATAGGCTTTTTTAAGACATCTTGGGGAGAAATTGTAACTCCATTTTCCAGAACAACAGAAATTCCATTTTTCAGCTTCCCATAGGCAGGACCTGGAGGCACACCTAATGATGGAGGCAGATAACATCACATCATGGGAATGGAGTCTATGACTTGTTAAGAGAGTCTGTTTTAACAGCACAGAAAATGGAAAAGGCATCCAATTCTTTTCATGATTGTTATATTTTACTACTTATAGAAAGCTGGAATATTTATATATTTTTAAAAGTTCAGTGTCGGCTATTGGTATTAGTGATGTCCTAGTACTTAAAACATTTCCCAAGCACACAGGCCACATAAGTTTTAAGCTTTTAAGTCCCACTAAGATGAAGGCCTTCCAGACAAGCTACCAGCTTTGATGCTCTACTGTGAACGGGAAGTAACAGTTTTTGAGACGCTTTATTTACAAGCTCTCTTTGAGTAAATTTAGTGAGTCCATTTAAATAATGACAAAGTCCTTAATTAAAAAATGGTGTGAGAGGGTCATTTGGATCATAAGATCAAGGAGCACTTCCAGCAATCATACGTATAATCAATCTTCTTTGTAGGCAGGGGCAGTTCCTTGTTTACCAAACCAGGTTTGGTAAGTCTTTTATTAGTTATCTTACATTCATCTAGAACAACATGTGACCATCACTCTGAATAACACCTACAAACAGAATGTATTCACTAATTCTAGCATACATCGTGTTTAGAGTTTCCCAATATAATAGTATTTCTACAGGTTTCTAGATAAGAGAAATACCATTGGCCTAGGTCACTTTTCTTCATTAGTTAGCATTTTGTTTTAGTTGGCAAAGAAGGAAGAGATTGCATGAAGAAACAAATATACAAAAGACACCATCATGCTTTGTACAGGCTCCGCCGTGGGCATGACCAAGAAGGTGGTGATGCTGGAGGTAGAAGGGACCTGGACACCGCTTCGAGCAAGGTGCAGAAGAGCCCCTCCTGCATGATGGCCTGGCATGGAGGAGGTACAAAGCCTCAGACGGGGCCCAAGTCTCTCTCTGTGCTCTTGCTTCCACCTATGAGGAACCCACGCACATAAAACAGTGGGGGCACAATGTTCTGAACACCAAATTGCCTTAACCAAGGTTGAATGAGTAGGCAAAGTTGATAAAGAAGGAAAACCCTGAAAGTAGTTGGGTGCAGCTGCAAGGCTAAGAAGTATGGCAAAAATTCTCAGGCCAAAGAGGTCACTGAAAACAGATTTCAAAAGGAAGACATGAAAACATAAAAGCCTAGACCTAAGACAACCACCACCCCTCTGCCAACCCAGATAACTGAAGATAAGACAGACCAAAAACGTGGATCCAGGGAGCCGAAGAGAAAAGGATTCAAATGTATACTTGGGTTTTGGCCTGAATAGATCTTTTGGCCCTAAGTATTTCCCTTAATAAGAAAACTTTGGGCCAAAGAAATAAGTGGAGAAAATGTCAGTTTTAGGCCTGGGAGACAGGAAAGTCATTATGACACTTTTAGCAGCTTTACCTAACAACAGCTTAATTAACGAGAAGGAAGGAAAACAAAAACAAAAACTTACCGAGGTCTTTCAGTTTCTGTGCATTGAGTTTACCTGGGCGTTTCTTCTCCACAACTGAAAACCCAAAGGAGGGAATTCGGTGAAAGAGGCGAAATGCTTTTACAACAAACTGTTCATCATCAACAAGGAGGTACGAGTTTTCCTCTGAGTCTAATAGGATGGTTCTTCCTTGCCCCTCCTTGGGAAGGTTGTCCATTTCATTCACATGCGTAAATTCTTTTTGTTCTTCTGTAGGACACTGATCTGCTGTAGGCACCAGCTCATGAACCACGTAAGGGAAGACCAGCTCCGTGTGGGAGAGTTCCATGGTTCGCCAGATAAAGTCTCGAAGCCCGGCAGGGCCATAGATTTCAATAGGCTGTTTGGTGACCACAGAGCCACTCTGCAGGCTGATTGTGCAGAGGAGGCCAGGAAGGCCAAAGAAATGGTCTCCATGAAGATGCGTAATGAAGATCTTGGTAATTCTCCCTTTTGATTGAGGCAGAGAAATAAAATTGGGAATTTTTCCAGAAATAAAGACCAATACAATACTACTTAAAACATGTGTAACAATTTACACAGAAAACAACAAAATGAGTTTAGAGTTTTATTCATCACCATAAACTTATTTCTTTATATTTTTCTACATGATTCTAGAAGCAAGAAAGACAGGATTTATGGTTTTAATAAGATACAACTTTTTTCATAAAACATCTTCAAATTACACAGTACTGGTTTTAAGAGTATTTTCCTACATATCTTCTTACTGAGAGAAAGAAAAGAAAAAAAGAAAAGAAAAGAAAAGAAAAGAAAGAAAGAAAGAGAAAAGAAAGAAGAAAAGAAAAGAAAGAAAAAAGAAAAAAGAAAAGAAAGAGAGAGAAATAGGAAAGTGTACCAAAATAGTTCACTTAAACCAGACAGGCCTCCAACGTCAAAAACGTCTGACAGCTACAGTGCCCTCTACTGCTCCCTCTCAGGAATAACAAATATAACACTTCTGGCAACACAAACGTTTCCCTGGCTCCAACTCGACCAGTGCCTGAACCCCAACTGCCATTTAAGGACTCTACCCAGGGTGGGGATGAACTAACCAAGGCAGAGCCTGCCGGTCTGAGTTAGAAGAGGGAGGAGCGAAAGGAAGCCGATGAGGCAGGAGGGAGGAAGGAGGGGGTGGAGGAGGAAAAGGGTGAAGGCCCTGAGGGGAGGTGGGCAACAGATGCTAGAAGGTAGATCAGGGGGCTGATGCCCTGTGGTGTTACATGGAGGTACGGGGCCCATCCCTTCTTTTCAGCGCGAGCTAACAATGGCTTTCTCAGTGCATACTGGGTTAGGTTGTAACTTGATTTAGCCAAGGGTAAACTGAATTTACTGCTGGTTATGTGGCAGGATGCCACATTAGCATTTTTCTGAGATGCACCAAGGCATTTTAAAAGTAGCGATCACAATTAACACAATTTTCGTGCAACAGAGGCTTCTGGTCCTAGCTCATGGCCCACCTATTTCAAATATTTGATACCATAGAAGAACAGTTAATTACTGTAAAGTGATTTGTCCGGTGACATCAAGGCAAACGTGTTCTCCAAGCACGTCTCTCCAGCATTAATACACCAAGGCCAGGCCCCAGTGGCAGGAAACAATAGATTGGACAGAGGCTGATTTGAGATGTGGAGCATACGTTTGTTTCCTCAGTATGCTCCTTTTTTTCTCTCTCTCTCTTTAGACCTTGCTTTTGCTCTTTTGACTTCTTGGAGCCCTTTCACCCCTCCCCTTCCTGCTCTCTGGGCTGCCCAGGCACCCGTAAGTATGACCTGAGGCCTCTGCAGAGAACTTCGATGGTTACCTGACCTCACGTTAACCTCCCAACTGCCAAGTAAGATGTTCTGATCCTGTCCCTACCTGGTGCATGGCGAGGCCAATACTAAAACACTCTGTGAGCCCAAAGCAAGTGAGACGAATTAAGGAAGTCAAAATTGTCTCCTACACTTATCACAGTTTCAGGGAAAACAAACATTTCATTTTTCAAGAAACTTGATTTTGCAGGGAGAAGGAATGGTAACCACAATGATCAAAGTCAGGGGACACTATCAAGTGAAGAAAGAGGAGTACATGAATTCCCTTTTACTTGAGAACAAGAAAGTTACAGGGGGACATGTCACCCAGAGCAAAGTAGAATACTAAATATCCCCTAGCGAGGACGCAGTTATATTTACTGCCACAGGAAAATGTCTGCAACATAATTGTTCCGGTGGAAAAAGCAAGTTACACCTAACATGACACCATTTATGCAAAACTGTACACACACATACACACAAATACAACTATGCCATTAACATACCTACATCTACAAAAAATTTACCAATAAGGTAATTTTACCTATAAGGAGAATTCAGACTTCTCTTATTTTATTTTCCTGCTTTGCTTGAATTTTTACAATGAGGATATATACTCCTTTTTAAAAGTTTTTATTTATTTATTTAAGTAACCTCTACACCCAATGTGGCGCTGGAACTCATGACCCCAAGATCAAGGGTCACGTGCTCCATGGAGTGAGCCAGCCAGGCACCTTGCATGTACACTTTTTATGATCATTTCTTCATTACATTTCTGTAATTTTTTTTTCTGTGACATTTTTAATCATCATTTTAAGGGAAGAAAAAGGAAGGCTTAAGGTCACTCTTTAAGAAAGGAGGGCAGCCCAGGTGGCTCGGCAGTTTAGCACCTGCCTTCTGCCCAGGGCGTGACCCCAGGGTCCTGGGATCGAGTCCCGCGTCGGGATCCCTGCGTGGAGCCTGCTTCTCCCTCTGCCTGTGTCTCTGCCTCTCTCTCTCTCCGTGTCTCTCATGAATAAATAAATAAATAAAATCTTTTAAAAAAATTATGAAAGGAATAGACATGAGAAACCTGTATTTGTTAATCAGATACTTGCACATTAGGACCAAGGAAGCTTAAAAGACGTGTGTTTAGATAAATAAAAAGTACTTCCTTATGAAACTCATAAAACACATTATTACCCCAGGAGGAGTACAGGCTGAAAGAGTTTTCATGAATCAAACAATGATAGGTCTGTGTTGGGTTGAGAGTAAGGCAGATGAACTGAGGGCATCCCATGCCAGTTTGAGACTGGAGCTTTTGAAATGCTAAAGATAACGTTCTGTGATTACCACCTTACCCTCCTCTCTGCGACCAGGAATTTTTTTAGCCAATAAGAATTTAGTAAACTAAAAGTTCCCTCAGGCTTTATTTTATTTATTTTTGGTGAGGCTTAGCTTTGTAAACTGTTTACTTATATATAAAATAGCTATAAAATATAAGACATTAGAGAAAGGTATTGTAGCAAATAGACACGAGGTGGTACACACGGCCCTGCCTCTTGATGTTCATCTCTCTCTACAATTCCTTTTTCTTGAGTGTGGGTAGGACTTGTGACTTGTTTCTTTTTTTTTTTTTATTTTTTTTTAAATTTTTATTTATTTATGATAGTCACAGAGAGAGAGAGGGAGAGAGGCAGAGACATAGGCAGAGGGAGAAGCTGGCTCCATGCACCAGGAGCCCGACGTGGGATTCGATCCTGGGTCTCCAGGATCACGCCCTGGGCCAAAGGCAGGCGCCAAACCGCTGCGCCACCGAGGGATCCCTTGTGACTTGTTTCTAACCAGTAATATACGGCACAGGGATGCAGTGCAATCACATTATGTTATAAGACTCCAACTGGCTAGCAGACTTGCTCTTGAGCTCCTCCCTGATAGTAAGGAATCAAGTTGCTACGAAGCAGAAACCCGGATCATTGGAACCAGAGGAGGCCACTAGGATCTGTGGCAGTCTTGATCCTACAGCTGTAAAGATTCTGCCAACAACCTGAGTGAGCTCTGAAGCAGATTCTTCCCCAGTTGAGCATCTTATGAGATCTCAGCCCTGGCCAGACACCGACTGCAATCCAGTGAGACCCTGAAGCAGAGAACCCGGCCAACTGAGGCCCAACTCCCCAACCCACAGAAACTATGAGATAATAAATGCAAATAAGACACTAAATGTAGGGGTGCCTGTGGGGCTCAGTCGGTTGAGCATCTGCTTTCAGCTCAGGTCATAGAGCCAAGGGTCCAGGGATAGAGTCCCGCATCAGGCTCTCTGCTTAGCGGGGAGTCTGCTTCTCCCTCTCTCTCTGTGTGCTCTCTCTCTCTCAAAAAGATAGGTAACTCTTAAAAAAAAAAAAAAAATATATATATATATATATATATATATATATATATATGATATTCTTTAAAAAAAAAAAAGACACTAAATTTATAATCTGTTATGCAGCATTGATAACTGATACAGGTGTTAGATAAAAAGTAAAGATTTACCCCACACTGAAATCTGGTACCCACACGTAACAGTTTCTTGTTTCTGTAAACTGTTCTTCAATCTCTACTTTATAAAATGTGAAATATTATAGACTTCAATCAAGCTTGTTTGTCCCTGAGAGATCCCATGAAAGGAACTCTGTATGACCCAAGGGAAATAAAGCATAGTAGCTGTCCTCGCCTCAGGGTCTTAGGTTGAACAGTGCACACCTCAAGGCCATGAGTCCCACCTGATAGACATTAGTTCCTTCCTCCAACAGCTCTGTTCTTGACGCCCTACTTAGGTTTGGGGCACCACCACCCCTGTAACTTGTAGGAATTCTTCACATCCTAGACAGTCAATGAGTCACCAACCCTGCTAGTTCCATGTTTCTTAAATCAAGTCTCTCATCTTCATCCTTATCCCTACTTCCTGCTTCATCTTCATCTTCTCTCTTTTCTCTCACATGAATGCAACTGCCTTAAAACTGGTCTCTCCTGGGGCACCTAGGTGGCTGAGTCACTTAAGTGTCTGCCTTAGGCTCAGGTCCTGATCTCAGGGTCCTGGGATGGAGGCCTACACCTCCTTTTCCTTCTCCTCCTGCGCCTCCCTTGGACTCTCCATCTCAAATAAATAAATACAATCTTTAAAAAAAAAAAAAAAGTCTCTTGAGGCTCCAAGCTCAGCAGATAATCTGCTGGAGACTCTTTCCCATTGTCCCCCGCCCCCCAATCACACACTCTTTCTCTCAAATGAATAAATCTTAAAAAAAAAAAAAAAAAAAAAAGAACAAAAACAAAACTGGTCTCTTCCAATATATTTGCCATAGAAAAATAGTCCTAATATATAAACCAGACTGTATCATTTCCCTCCTTAAAAACATTTAATGGTTCCTTATTGCCAGTAGGATAAGAAGGCCCAAATACATCAGCAGACCACAGAGGACTTCATAGTCTGCCCTAACTTTTTCAGCATTTTTATCTCTCTTCTATCCTGGCCAACCGCTCGATGCTCTGGATGGTTCAACATTCACTCAACATGTCACTTCTCTCCTGGAAACTCTATTCCTTCTTGCTCACTGCCTCACCTGTTCCTTGACTTTCCTTCCCAGAGAAACTTCTAATAATCTCTTAGATCCTAGCTATACTGTCTCCATCTCTGGGATGTTTTCTCTCAACACATACTTAATGTCCCCCTCCTCTGTGCTCCACAAGTACTTAGAAAACAAAAACAAAAGAAGAAGGAAACAGCTCCACTGTTGTCTTTATCACAGTACCCTATGTCTGTCTACACGTCAGTTTCCACCACTAGACCACGAGATCCTTGGATGCTAGGACTTTTCGTCATCAATGTCACATACTGTGATGAATCACAGGAATAATTTCAATAACTACCATTAATCTCAATAACTACTATTAATCAAGACCTAGTAAGTGAGAAGCACCACACGCTGAGCATTTTATTTATGAATCAATGGAACGGATATTTATGAAGCACCTACTAGGTATACACGTGATCCTTGAGCTTACTTCATCACACCGAGAAATACACAGTGAACGCAGAAACAACTACTTAAATACCAATTTTACATACTGATGCTAAAAAGTCAATAAAACTAGCACAAGGCAGTAGAACATCTGGGATGAACAAGGAATTACCTAACCCCAGGGGTTCAGGGAAAACCTCTGAGGAGATGGCCCTTGAACTAAGATTTAACTGATGAGAGACAACCATACAGAGAAGGGATTGCTATATATAATTCTTACAATGTCCCTTATTAGTTGAGCTTTTATCTTTATTTTCAAGAGGAGGAAGATAAAAGCTTGAGTTTGTTGATCCACTAAGGCCACAATCCGACACACAGCTGGGACTGCATCCCAGGTTGGCCTGCCTCGGCCAAGGCTTTGCACCACCATACTCCTTGACCTCCCCGGTGCTAGACCTCTGCTCGTGGCAGAGGCATGCCCATCTTCCCCCAGCCCAGTGAATCCCTCCTCCTCTTTCAACAACTCACGGGTCACCTTCTTTGAGAGGACTACCCTGACAACCCCAAATAAAAAAGAACATCTCACTCTTCTGAATGCCTATTGCTCTTTGTAGCCTCTTGTGATACTTACAACTATCTCCTGGTGGAGGTAAGTATGTTCACTGCTCCTTTGCTTGTGCAGTACCCACGTAATAAACCTCACGTATCCCCCTCCAGCCTTCACCCCCTATGCTTACATAAATCCTTGCTCTCAACATTTACAGGAGGAACAAAAAGTAAATAAAGTTCAGTGGGTGTAGCCGGACGCCTGAGGGCCTTCTGAATATTCCCAGGGCTCTAGCACTAGGGTGGGATGCAAGTGTCAGCGCTGTTTCTGAGCAACAGGCCCAAGGCAAGCCAAGAAAATGAATAAGAAATAGTCTTAATGAGATAGCTGAATATACACTAACCTGCTTTAAGTTGGCTCTTCATAAGCTGTGTCTGAGTCCCCTCCCCACAGTCAAAGAGCCAGCACTCGCCCTCACACCGAAGGACCAGTGCAGAGGCACCCCGGGTTGGGGACGGGTATGCTGCACCCGTACCCAGAAACGTCACATCCATAGACATCTTCCACCCTGCAATGAAAAGATTACCCACGGATTATTACACATCGCTGCTCAAAAACTCCAAAAATACGCTGTGAAATACACTGCTATTTACATTTTCATTATTCACAAGAGGCTGGATTCTTGTTCTCTAACAGTTTTCTGTAGAAATACCAAGTAAGACTTTTAATAACTTCCTGAGTTAAAAACCACAAGTCACCAAACCTTGTAGGACTGCTCGCACACACAAAGACAAGCTTAAAAACTGCCAAATCCAGTCAATTAAAAACTGTCGCTGGATCCCAACTATACGATATTCTGAGAAAGGTCAAACTGATACATAGACCAAAAGTTGACAGTGGTTTGGGGAGAAGGAGGGAAGGATGAAGAGGTGAAGCACAGGGGAAAGCGGGTATTTTCATGTTACTAGTGGTGGAGGCACAGCACTCATCCATCCTACAGAAAGAAGGGATCTATGTATAATGATGTTTCTGGTGGTGCCTTTAAGGCGGCTAACATTTGGAAGCAATCTGAATATATTCCGATAGGGAAATGACTAAGTATTTTATTACGGATTCATACCACGAACTACTTATCCTGCAGTTAAGTCAGGTCTGTAACTCTTGTCCTGGAGAGCTGGCAAAGAGAAGTTACAGGTGGCTGTGGCATGACCTCATTGTTACGATGCCCCAAACCTCTGCATTCACGTAAGACAGAGAAAGCCTGGGTGGAAGGACAGACGCCTCGCTGTTAATAATGGCCATCTCAGGGGCGCTTAAAATGGTGATGGTGGGGAGTGGCTATTAAATTTTCTTTTAAATTTTTTAAAAAGATTTTATTTATTTATTCATGAGAGAGACAGAGAGACAGAGAGAGAGAGAGGCAGAGGCACAGGCAGAGGGAGCCGATGCGGGACTCGATCCCGGGTCTCCAGGGTCACGCCCCGGGCCAGAGGCAGGTGCTCAAGCACTGAGCCGCCCAGGCGTCCCTCTTTTAAGTTATTTTTATTAGTTTTGGTTGTGATGAACAGCATTTGATGTCTTTATTTTCAATGTATTTTATATTTACTTAATATTGATTATTTTTTTTAAAAAACGTGTTATAAGCCTGAACATACTTTTTTTGTTTTTGTTTTTGTTTTCCTTTCTGAACACACCTGTCTAACTGCCACATCACCTCCTCTTTCTCCATTTGGGGACCCGTCGGCCCTCCTGCCCCCTCACCGCACGCACAGGTGTCACTTAGGTGATGCTTTCCACTTCCGAGATGCAGCCTTCCTCCGGTAATGAGGCGGTTTAACCTGCCGAGGCTTTGCTGTCAGGTTGCAGTTTGCAACAGAGGTGAGCATAACGGAATGTGGGAAGTCAGAACACTTTGAAAGCCAACAAATGGAGAAGGAGTAATATGGTCCCTTTGCCACCCTTGGCAAACAACGGATCCGGCCGGCGGTACCAGCCCCGCGGCACCAGCCCCGGGGCGCATCAGCCGCCCAGAGAGTCCCCCAGAGAGCCCTGAACCCGCAGCAATAACGGGGGCTCCATCCCGGGGCAATCAGACGGGAAACTCCGCAGGACGCGTGTTTTAGTATCTAAAAAAAAGGAAAAAAAATTCATCCCCTGTGATGCTACCGCGCAGTCGGGTCTGAGAATCACTTAGGGAAGGACCACGGGGAGCCACAAAGGAGGGATCAGGCCGACCTGGACTCACTAGCCAAGGAGTCCGTGTTTAAAGGGGAAAAAAGTCACTACGAAGAAATCTCAAACGCAAGAGCAGGGAGGTCGGTACGACGCGCTGGCGGGGAGCATCCCTCCGCTGCCCCGCCGCAGCTCGCCCGCCCCGGGACACCAGGTGCCGGCCGCGCGCAGGCAGCAGCGGGGGCGGGGGCCGCCACGGACACGGACGCGGACGCGGACGCGGACACGGACGCGGACGCGGACACCTGCCTCCGCGGGACCCGGGGCGCCGCCGCCAGGGCCCTGCCCGCCCGCGCCGCGACCTCCCCTCGGGGCTGCGCCGGGCCCCCGGGGCTGGCGGCCTCCCCGGCGGCGCCCCCCGCACCGCGGCCGCGCGTTGTCCCTCGCGCCCACTCACCCGCTCCCGAGGCCCGCGGCCAGGCCCACCAGTCCACCCGGCGGCGCGGGCGGAAGTGCGCCGCGGGAGGTGCCGGCGAGCGGCCGCTCTAGGGCGCGCCGGAGGTCCTCTCGGTGGTGCCGGGCCCCATCCGAGGGCTCGGCATGGCCGGAAGTGTGCCGCGGGAGGTGCCGGCGGCGGCCGCTCTAGGACGCCCCGGAGATCCTCTCGGTGGTGTGGGGCCCGAGCCGCGGGCGGAAGTGCGCCGCGGGAGGTGCCGGCGAGCGGTCACTCTAGGACGCGCCGGAGGTCCTCTCGGTGGTGCGGGGCTGCGCGCGAGGGCGTGGGCGTGGGCTGGGCGTGGGCTGGGCGCGGGTGCGGGCGCCCTCCTGGTGCCGCCCTTCCCCCCCCCCCACCCCCGGGCCCGCCCGCTGCCGCCTGGGCTGTGCCGTCTACACGGGCCGCGCGCGGTGGTGCCGTCTACACGGGCCGCGCGGTGCTGCCGTCTACACGGGCTGCACGCGGTGGTGCCGTCTACACAGGCCGCGCGGTGGTCTACACGCTGCAAGCCGCCGCGGCTCCGAGCTCCCTGGCGGCAGGACGCGGCTGGGCGGACGCGCCTCCGGGCGGCGGGGCGGGGCGGGGCGGGGCGACGAGGCTGCACCTGCCCGGCTGCTGCGGCTGCTGCGCCCGTGGGCCCCGGCGGAGTCGGCGGTTCGGCCCGAAGCCTTTCCTCAGGCAGGAGCTGAGCCCGGCGTTGCGGATCCCGTGTCCGAGGCCCCCGCCCCCCCCATCCCCCCCCCCCCCGGGCCGTCTGGGCTTCCCTCGGCCCTTCTCAGAGGCGGGCACAGCGCTGGCGTCACGGGGCGGCACGTTTCGTTTGTTTTCTGAGACTTTGCACCTTACGGGAGCCTCGGCACACGGGGGGGAGGGGGGGAGACGCGGCCCAAGGGAGCCTCCCGCCAGCGCCACCCGCTCGCCCGCCGGCGACTCCTGGCCCGCCCTGGCTCAGCCCAGCAAACCCCTTCCCCTTCCGAGGTTGCCGTAAAGCAAACTCCAGGCACAGCATCCTTTCACCCATAAGCCGTTCTACGAGCGTTTAACGACCCTTTACCCGGGGAGGGCTCATCACCGTATGATGACGGTGGGCAGTCGAGTATATAAATACAGTAGATACATATTTTTGTTTATTTGTATTTTTTTTAAAATTTTTTTTATTATTTATGATAGTCATACAGAGAGAGAGAGGCAGAGACACAGGCAGAGGGAGAAGCAGGCTCCATGCACCGGGAGCCCGACGTGGGATTCGATCCCGGGTCTCCAGGATCGCGCCCTGGGCCAAAGGCAGGCGCCAAACCGCTGCGCCACCCAGGGATCCCTGTTTATTTGTATTTAAGGAGGCTCCGTGCCCACCGTAGAGCCCAGTGTGGGGCTTGAACTTAGGCCCTGAGATTAATAGTCATTGCATGACCTACTGAGCCACCCGGGTATCCCAAGATAGGTTTTTGTGTTTTCTTCTTAAGATTTTATTTATTTGACAGAGAGAGAGAGAGAGCGCACAAGCAGGGGGAGCAGCAGAGGGAGAGGGGAAGCAGCCTCCCCGCTGAGCAGGGAGCCAGACATGGGGCCCCCAGGACCCAGGATCCCGACCTGAGCCCAAGGTAGCCCCTTAACCAGCTGAGCCACCCAGAAGCCACAGGTTTTTGTTTTAAAGATTTTATTTATTTATTTGAGAGGGAGACAGAGCAGGAATGGGGGGAGGAACAGAGGGAGAAGGTACAGGATAAGACACCCTGTTGAGCAAGGAGTCAGCCTGGGGCTCCATCTGGGACCCTGAGATCATGACCTGAGCTGAAGTCAGATTCTTAACTGACTGAGCCACCCAGGTGCCCCAAAATAAATATTTTTTAGAATACTTAGAATTCTGTGTTTAGAATACAACCATAATAACATCATAAAAAAGACAATAATTCCACATTATCCAATGTTCATTCATTGTTTAAATTTTCCTGATCATCTCATAACTTTGAGGCTCAATTGTTCAAGTCAGAAAATTTAAAAATACAATAAAATCATTAAAAACCTCTTTTAAAAAGCTTTTTTTTTAAAAGAATTCGTTTTTTTTTAATTTATTTATGATATTCACACAGCGAGGGAGAGAGAGAGAGAGAGAGAGAGAGAGAGAGAGAGAAAGAGAGGCAGAGAGAGAAGCAGGTTCCATGCACCGGGAGCCCGACGTGGGATTCAATCCCGGGTCTCCAGGATCGCGCCCTGGGCCAAAGGCAGGCGCCAAACCGCTGCGCCACCCAGTGATCCCTCTTTTAAAAAGCTTAACTACAGTGTTACCGTCTCACCTGATGATTTGTCAAGACATCCAATTACTTACGAATATCACCTAATAACTGTTCAATGTTCAGATTTGCCTAATTATTCCCAAAGAGTCTCATGTGTAGGTGGTTTGTTTCAATCAGTATTCAGGAAAGGTTTACATTGCATTTGGTATAAGTTTCTAAAGTTTCTTTTAAGCTTTTTTAAAAAGTTTTTGTTTATTTATTTATTTACTTATGTTAGAGAAAGAGAGAGTGAGGCGGGGGGAGGAGAAACGAGTCTCAAGAAGACTACGCACTGAGTGCGGAGCCCAACGGTGGCTCCATCTCAGGACCCTGAGATCATGACCTGATCTGAAACCAGCAGTCAGATGCTCAACCAACTGAATCTCCCAGGTGCCCCTCTTTTAAACTTTAATGGTTTCTTTTCCCTCTCGTTTTCTCTTGTCACTTATTGGTGGAAGAAATTGGGTCACTTGGCCTCCAGAATTTCCCAAATTCTGGACTGGACTGATTGCATCTCCATGGTATCATTTAACATGTTTTTCTATCCCTTGCGTTTCTTATCACATGGGAATTAGATGTAGAAGCTTGTTCTAAGTCTTTTTAGTGGACAAAGCAAATAAACATATATATTTTAACTGAAATTGTGAACTCATACTGATTTTTTCAATTCTAAAGTAAGATTATACAGTTTTTACTTAATTTCTTTAATTTTATGCTGATGTCACTTATACACTAAATCTTGGTTCCTAATGATAATAACATAGTTTGATTTAGCTCCAGTAAAGTGACTCCAGCAAACCATTGGATATATCACACTGGGTATGTACAGTCAAAAAACTATTTTTAGGTTACTTAAGAATTTTTTTTTCCATGTTGCTTTGCCACCAACCTGATAAACAGTTAGATTCTTCTATTTATTTTCCATTTTTAGGTATTGCTTTTTAAAGTGCGTTTTAAATTATGCAAATTGTTTACATGGGTTCCAAAGTCAAAATTATATTCAGAAAAGAATTACTTCCTTCCCTGCATAAGTGGCACTTTATTAAAATTAGTTTTAGAGAGACTTGCAGTATGACAGCATGAAGTGTTCTATGGGCCCAAACCCCAGAGAAACTGGTTAAAATAATAAAAACAATCATTTAAAGTCTCTGGGAATGGTCTGGTCCTAAGGAAATTTAGTAAATGGAGAAACACTTATTCAAAAACTACCAAAATTCAGGAGGAACAGTGAGAGTTTATAGAGTTTGAACCCAGACCTGCTTCCTCCCTTTACCTCTCAGATCTGCGAGATTGAACTGTAGACTGGTACAGCCGATAACACAGGTCTCCCTCTCTTCCTAGCTCAGAGTCAGAGAGCTGTCTTCTAGGAAGGGCTAACACATCAGTAGTCCTCATGCTGCCCCCAGCTACGAGTTGGTGAGGCTGAATTCGAGCCAACCGTTGCTAAGAGGCAAGATGGAGGCTTTAGTTTAGGTTTGGCCTAGCGAGAATACTAGGTCCCTGGTTGCTCTCACCCTGGCTCATAAAGTGGTGGTTCCATGTAGGGAAGACCAGCCAGGAAGACCTGAGGTCTCTGCCCCACTCAAGTGCCCAGCTCCTAAATTTGTGGTGTCACTAAATGAGTAGCATGCCACAGTCTCCAGCTCCACGGCCGTGGCTCAGAGATTTCGCCCAGAGGGAGAAGCAAATCTAAACTGGACCTTTTAATCTCTTCCAACATGTTGGGTTCACTTGCAATAGACTGTGGAGACCTCAAGCTTAAAGACGCTCCAAAATGAATGGAGATAGATGATGGTGAAAGGGAATTGGGAGGAGATTGGTAGGATCGTTGGACATCTATAGGCTAAACTGTCAGCATATTGTTTTCCTAAGAAGGGGCGATGGGCACAAGGCAAATGGAAGGAGCTTACCAGAGGTGAAGAAAAATTCAAACAAGGACCTGAGAAACCTTCCCTACACAGGAACTCAAATTTGATTGCTTTATTCTGTGGAGCAATTTATGCCCTGGACATTGTTGAAAATAATAGAGCAATCAGCTGGTAATCAGAGGAGCTTAGTAGAGCAGTATAATTAGGGAAAGAGACAAAAAGAGCTGTGCCGGGACTGTATTTCCTAAGGGGAAATATCGGAGGGTGACCTCGGTAAGTAGATGGGGTTGGGGGGATAGAGTCCGATAATCCAGCAGTCACTAAACAAATGAAAGAGCAAATGACAATAACAAGTTTCAGAGGTGGTGGGTGGGCAGTACCTTGAGTTGCTATGATATATAATCTAAAATGTACAGTTTCCAACAAGAAAAGTTAAGAAATATAAAGAAATAGGAAACTGTGATCTCTAAAATAGAAAAAAAAAGAGGAGGCAACAGAAACTGCTTGTGAGAGTAAACTAAGATGTTGGGGTTGTGAGACAAAGCTTTTTGAGTAGCCATTTATATATGGTCAAAGAACCAAAAGAAATCATGATTAAAGAAGCAAAGGAAGATATGATG